GGCGGCTCCGGGGACGGCGCTCCCTCCGCGGCACGTGGCTCTGATGGAACCACCCTCGTCCAGCTGTCCACTGTGCCAGGCCGGGGCTGCCGTGGGGACCAAGACGAGCGCCGGGCCTTGCTGCCACAGGGCCCATTAGTGGCCGCAGTCAGTGCCACAGAGAGGAGTGGGCCTTACCACCCCGTGTGGGGTGCGAGTGGAAGGGGCGCCCGGCGTGGAAGGGGCAGGCGTTCCGCGGGAAGAACCCGCAAAGAGCGAGGAATTACTTGGAGAAAGCAGGCAGGGGCCTGGCTGACGTCCAGGAAGGAGGAAGTGCGGTGCGAGGCTGCAGAGCACAAGGTATGAGGGACAGGGCGGGTACAGCAGGACCGGGGAGCCAGGGTGGAGCGGCATGCGGTGAAACTGAAGAGAGAGCAGGGGCCGAGGGGCCGCGGGGCCCGCACCTACGGCCAGGGCAGCGGCAGAGCAGTCAGTGGCTTTGTTCTTTTCTTGAAAGCAACCAGGAAGCCAGGGGAGTTTTAATCAGGAAAGTCACCGTGTTTGCGTGGTCGGAATATCTGTCCAGCAAGGGGATGAGAGTGCGAGGGAGAGAAGAAGACGTGCCGGACCGATGGACCCGGCTGGCCGTGGTGCCCGCGGCGTTGCCCATGGACTCTGGAAGTGAGGCTGAGGGGCGCCCTGTGGAGCTGTCCGGCAGGTGCACGGATCTGGACCTCTCCTGGCAGGAGACACAGCTGGGGCAGAAGAGTTTGAGGGAAAGGCTGGCCGCAGCAGAGGGGACCTCGGGCTGGGCCGCGCTCCTCCTGCCTGAGAGGCCCCGTCAGCTCGTGGGGGTGACACTGAGCACAGCCACAGTCTTCGGGTCCCCAAGGCTAGGCCTGCTCCGCCCACCCCTGTTGCCCATCTCGGTCTCCCGGGCGGCCCACAATTGCGGTCTACAGGTCAAGCTGCAGCCTTGCTGTAGCCCACGGTCCGCACCCACAGACTGGGTAAATTCAGCCTCCCAGCAGACAGGGAGACTGCGGGTGACAACTGGAACGTGCCAGGAGGCGACTCTGGCATCACGGCCCTTCAGCTCTTCTTCTCACTGTTGCTGCCCAAAGACGCTTCTGCTCCACGTGGGAACCTCGGTCCTCTAATTATGCCCTCTCCTATAAAGTCTTTGCTGTGGGCTTTTCTGCACAGTGTTTAACTATGTTCACATATCCCCATCTTAAAAATAATAAAATTAGCCAGGTGTATTGCTGTAATCCCAGCCCTGAGGGAGGCTGAGGCAGGAGGATCTCAAGTATAAGCACTGGCAAGGAGACTTAGCAAAACCTTTTCTTAAGATAAAAATTTTTGTTTTTTGTTTTTTCTTTTTTTGGTTTTTTGAGACAGGGTCTCACTATGTAGGTCAGACTGCTCTGGAACTCATTATGTAGCCCAGGCTGGTCTCGAACTCACAGTGATCCTCCTGCCTCAGCCTACCGAGTGCTGGGATTATAGGCATGCACCCCCACATCCGGCTTAAGATAAAAGTTGTTTAAATGACTGGGGGTGTAGCTCATTGGTTGAGTACCCCTGGGTTCTATCTCTCCCAATACTAGAAAAAACTTTTGATTAAATTTAAAAAATAGGTGTGGTGGGGTACATCTGTAATCTCAGCACTCTGGGAGGCTGAGTCGGGAGGGTTGTGAGTTCAAACCCAGTCTGGGCAACCTTAGCAAGACCTGGTCTCCAAATAAAAAAAAAAAATTAAAAAGAATAGGGATGTAGTTCCGTGCAAAGGCCCTGGATTCAATCTCCATTATTTAATAAAAATAGTAATAAAATAAAGCTTCCTGGGCCTCACAGCATCTATAGCCATCATCCTATCTTATATTCAGCAGATAGTTTATATTTATTCACACAGTCTCTCCGGATGTGTCAGGAGGCACTGCAGGTCCGCAGGAGGAGCCAGGACCCCACCAGTCTCTCCTGATGAAAGAAGAGCCGCCTTTTCCTCACCTTGCACCGCTCTGTCTCTGTCGAGCTGCCTGGTCTCATTGTCCCTACACCTGCTGGAGGCTCTTTCCTCCATGTCCTGAAGGCCTCACTGCTGCCCTCCTGGCCTGAGGACACAGCCAGTGGGAAGGGTTAGCTGCTCTCCCAGCGCCTCTCCCTGCTGGCCTTTCTCTCTCCTGCATGTTTTCTGACCCCGCAGCCCAGACGCTCTCACAGAGCTGCCTCCTCTCCTGTGCGAACTCCAGCCCAACCCCTCAGACCCCGGATGTATCACTGCTTCCCTGTCCCTAAACACCTGCTCTTCCTCCCACGTTTCCCCTCCCCTCTGTCTGGGTCAGAAGCCTGTCAGTCCCCTTGGCGTTGGCTTTGCCCTGAAGCAGGCAGTCATCAGATTCTGTGAGTTCCGGTTTCCCAGGATCTTTTCAAATGTTTCTCTCATCCTGATGGACATCTCTGTCCTGGGTGCTGCCTTCTCTCTCCTCCGTTATTACAAGAATCTCCTATCCGGCCTCTCGCTCCTTCAGGGGCTCCACACACAGCAGCTCGAGAACTCTGTCTCCTCCCTCGGTTGCGATGCTTTCTTCGTCGCCTCCTTCTCTTCCTCCTCCTCCCCTCTTCTCTCTTTCTTCTTATTTCTATCCTCTGTCTGTGTCTCTCTCTCCATCCTTCGCTAGGGACTCGCTCAGGCACTGGTTTTTCCAAGAAGGTTCTCTGTCTGCCCACGAAATGTCCTTTTTGTTGTGGTCCTCAGTGCCACATTATAGTGTCACAGGCTCATTTCTGTCCTCTCAGGCACGAGCCTGTGAGGCACCAGCGGGAAGGCCATGTGTCAGTTCGCTCTGTGTCCTCACTGCCCAACAGAGGTCCGGCATATGGAAGGAAGAATATTTTAAATGTTATCCATAGCTAATAAAGCACTGTGCTTCCTGCCCTGCACTGGCGTAATGGTGGACAGGAAAGAAATGCCGCAGGGCCAGGTGGGGGGAAGCTCTCTGGCTTGAAGAATCTCACCATTCACTGTGCTCAGAGTGCGAGGGTGTTGGAAAACCGCTTTATAAAAAGAGCTATTGTTACTTCGCTTCTTACAGCCCCTTTGTTGATTGTGGTAGGGAGACCCAGGGTGCAGGACAGGGCCAAGTCCTGGGGACAGAGGGCAGAAGGGCAAGAAGTGGGGCTGAAAAGTCGGCTTCTTTGTCACAAGTTTTTCTCTCCTCCTCTCTTCTAGACACGTCGTGAGCGTCTTCCTTGTTGTCACCCAGCTGGGTTTCTGCTGCGTGTACATAGTGTTTCTGGCTGATAATTTAAAACAGGTACCCTCTTCTAGAAAAGACGGTGGAGGGAGCCTGGAAAAGCAGGCTCTTCTGCTCACTACACATTTCTTCATCTGAGTCCTGTGACCTCCTTAGAGACTGGACTTAGGAGAGAGCCCGCTCTCCCCTCCAGGGAGGCATCTGCGCATGTGTGTTTGTGGTTAATTTTGCCACAGTACCGTTTGCCCTGGACCTTGAACTCTTCTTCCAAGTCGACCTCTAAAATCCTGAACGGGAAGGACTCTAGGAGTTTGCCAGTCCACCTGTTCTGGAAATTAACCCCAGGAACACTTCTAAAATTGATATGGGTTTGGGGTGTGTGTGTGTGTGTGTGTGTGTGTGTGTGTGTGTGTGAACACGCATGATGCCTAATCTTCTTTGGGGGATCTTTAGCTACCTAACAAATGGCTTAATGGTGGTCATCCTCAGGAAGTCCTGACCTGACCTGGAAGTTATCTTACAGGCAGCAACAGAGGCCAGCTTTAATCTGTAGACCACTTTTTAGAGCTCTTTTCCTACTTTTAACAGTAATACCAGACACTTAGACATGTGACAATGTTAGTAAGCCCACAGAACTGGCCCACTGAGATGGGCGGACACACTCCCCCACAACTCCCACAGGGACGTTGCCTCACCATGGCTGCTGGTACGGACGGCCCTCCAGAGCCATCATTTCTGAACTACACCATGACATTAAACTGTGAAGTTACTGAGTCAGATTTTGATAATTTTGAAAGGTCTCAAAGCACACTGCCAAACTGCTCTGCAGAAAGCAGTCTCAGACCTTTATTATTATTTATAGCTATTATTAGTTAAATATTTTTTACCAGCTGTGTAGCTGTGTTTATGATCAAGGCAAGCACTGTCTTGAGGACCTTATGGGCTAAGCAGGCTGTGTTCTAAAACATAAAAAGAAAACACCAGCTTGAAATTTTGGTGCCAGATCAGCCTGCCACTGACAGCACCGAGGCCAAGGTGCAGCATGATGGGCACACACAGAGCTCACGGTGCGCGTCTGCACCGGCATTGATGGGCAGCTGGGAGCAAAAGGGTGGGAGGAGGGATTGGCGGAAAACCTAGAGGCAGGGATGTACAGGGCTTCCTCAGGAGAAGCCATCTGATTGCCAACAGAAGGAGTCGTTAAGAGAAAGGAAGGGGCCTGCAGTCAGGTCAGGGCCCGGTGTGGAGGCCTGGATGCCTGACTCATCTTCCAGGTGTTTCTCCCACTGTCGTGAGGTGTTGTAGAAACGCAAGACTTAATGCTCCCTATTTATGTGTCCACGGTGTATGCGTATATGGAAAGGGGATTTCAAAATAAGTTTGTGCTCTCATTGCCATTTTATAAGACAAAAAGAACGTGCACCATGTGCGTAACTTGTGACGTTGTACAGAAAACATATAGCTGAACATACTGCAAGGTATCGCTGGGATTAACGATGCTTTTCTATTTTCTTGTTGCTTCACTATAGTTCCGATTGTTCTGTGGTGACTTCTAAAGCTTGCACAGTCATATTGTTTATATCAATGAGGTCATGCAAATTCTAAACTACAACTCACTCACCAGGACTCTCCCAGGAGGGTCTACATGCTCTGCGTATACACCAGGGCAGGTTCTCAGTTCTTTCTTATTATAGTGAATAGAGGATGTTAATAGTCCCCTTAGATGGCATTCAGGGCTGTTAAAAGTTCTGTAGTGGATGGCCCCATTCACACAAGGAAGAGTTCTCTATTTAAAATGCCATTGGGCTAGGTGTGGTGTGGTGTGGTGTGGTGTAGTGGTGCGCACCTGTAATCCCAGCCCTCAGGAGGCTGAGACAGGAGGATTGCTCTGAGTTCAAAGCCAGACTAGACTACATAATGATTTCAAGGCCAGCAGAACTATATAGCACAACCTGTTCTCAAAAACAAAAGCAACACAAAACAAAAAATGCTAGTATTGGTCCAAGTAAAAGATTTTACAGGTTTGGGATGTAGTTCAGTGGTAAAACACTTGCCTAGCATGTGCAAGCTGGAGTTCAATCGCCAGCAATGCCATCAATCAGAGAATCAGTTAGAAAGAAAAGGAGGGGCCGGAGATTTGGCTCAGGGGTTCTGATGCCCGCCTCCCAAGTGCAAGGGGCGGAGTTCAATCCCTGGTACCAAATCAATAAATAATTAATAAATAAATACATTTTAAAAAACCATAGGTACCAAAAGGAGACAGTCACCAGGGTCACCTAAGAAACCGGAAACAGTGGGTGCTTTTGTTAATAAACCAAAGAAGCAGACTCTGGGGGAACCGAAAATGCATTTAGTGGAAGGGTATCAGTAACATAAAATGACAAAATTAGAGGCAGTTCTCAGAAAAGACCAGCAGCAGGACAGGAGAGGTACTGAGCTCCCTCCTAAGGGTCCGCTATTGGAGTTCAGTTTTACCCTTTTCTATTTCTGTCCTTTGGTCACTCGACTGGAGCTCTATACCCCGATTCCTGGTCGACATTCTAGAAGTCCCAGCCTGAGCCAAAGGCTCTGCCATCGACTGTGATTTATGGCCCGCCAAGGCGGTGCGACAAAATTCACCAGCATGAATCAGGGCCCAAAGCCAACAAACACCTGCCGTAAGCCGTCATTAAACGACCCCTCTGAAGTCGTACAGCACGCGGGTTTAAAGTAAAAAGTTCCAACTTCAGCCGCCTCCTTCACGGCGGAGCTGGATTACGGCAGCTGGATTACGGCAGCGTGCCGGGCTCGTGCGTCAGAGGTCTGTTTTCTCTCTTGCTTTTCCCCTTTCGCCTGCAGGTGGCAGAAGCAGTGAACGGCACGACCAGCAGCTGCCACGAGGGGACGGTGGCGCCGACGCCCGCCGTGGACTCGCGGCTCTACATGCTCGCC